AGCAAGAGTCCAGTACCACCTTAAAGACTAACAAAATATGTGGCAGGGTATCAGCTTTTGTGAATCACTGCTCACTTCTTCAGACTCATAAAAGCTCATACTCTGCCACATATTTCGTTAGTCTTTAAGGTGCTGGTAGCTCTTGAAAAATTGTGTATGTTCTTCATGTAGGACAAATAATGTCAACCTGTTACTTTTGTGTCATTAGAAGCATTCCCTCTAAGCTGAGTTAGTGTGAGCTAGTTCACAATTTTTTAGCCTCCGGCTCACACATTTTTGTCTTACCTCAGGAAGGATGGCTCCAGAGCAAACTAATTTATGCAGCAGCCAAATCGCTCGGTCACAACTTTAATGCCAGTAGCTCACAAAGTAGAATTTTTGCTCAGAAGACTCCACAGCTTAGAGGGAGCATCAGCAACAAATATACAGCGCCATTTGGGAATCTCTGGGAACATTATGATAGGTGAAAACTGGAAGCAAAATGGTTGAGAACTACATACTGGGCAATGAAATAGTTTCTGTAGGTCACTTTTACAATGTCTCTTTTCAAGACAGAAGACAGTCTCTAAAGAGAGAAAGCCTTTTCAATACTAATGAAACTCCCATTTTGGACCACTGTATGCCACTTTGTTCACTTACATAATTTAGACTTTTTGTTCTTCTTTGCCACTTCTTTAGTTGCAAGTGTACAAGTCAGGAGCAAGGCTAAAACAGAATGAGTTGAAAAAATATGAGGCAAACACACAGCTATCAGCATGAAGATGTATGAAAGCTGAAAATGTGGTTTTTCTTACATTCAAATTGTGTATCTACATTTACCAAAACTTCATAAATTCATTTTCTGTTAGTGTTCTACTGCAGCTTGCCACCACTATCCAAAATTTGGATAGTCACTACTTTAGATTTTGTACACAATGTATCCCTTGAACATATGAGTAAAGCACATTGGTCCATCAGGCTCTGTGTCATCTGCACTGGGTGCTGAGCAAAGACATTCCCCCCCCCAACACCTGTAATCTGAGACCCTGAAACTACAGATGTCCTGACTGAATCCAGGATTTTCTCCAGGCAAACCATGTGCCACAACACCAAGCCATGACCTTTCCCCAGAATATTACTAATTCTTCTTAAAGTAAGTCAGAAAGCTGGTCTATCTACCACAGCTCTCTGAGGTCTGAGATAGGGGTATTTCTCAGTGCTACTCCAGATATCCTTTCCGCTGCAGATTGAACATGAAATTCTGCATGCTAGGCCTGTGACTGGCTACTGAACTGTGCCTCCTTCTCATGGGATTGAAGTAGCCTGTCCTGAGTCTGCAAGGCAGATACACAAATTAAGCAGAGTAAAATACGTATTCTTTATTTACTTCACTTACACCCTGCCTTTCTCCCCAACAGTGACCCAAAGCAGCTCACATCAATTCTCCTCTCCTCCATTTTATCCTCACAACAAACCTGCAATGTGGATTAGGCTGAGAGTATCACTGGCCCAAGGTTACACAGCGAGTTTCCGAGGCACAGTAGGGATTCAAACCTGGCTCTTTCCGACCCTAGTCCGACACCCTAACCCGTACATCACACTGGTATGGAAGTAAATATTACTTGAAATACTTACCAAGGGCCGCTGCAATAACCTTCATGATGAGAGTCCAGGAGCTTTAATAAAGTTCACTGAAAGGTAAAAATCCAATATTTTCACACAATTTCAAAAATCCAATATTTAATAATATTGACATGATCTGCCTCAATTACTTTAAGGCATATACTGCTAATACAGCAGTGGCGGTGGCAGAAGTCATCCCTGTCCGTGTTGGTTCTTAGCCACATATACTTTCACCACTTGATTGACAAGCAGAGATTTGTTTGTAGGAATGAGTCAAAACAGTTCAAGTATCAGCAGTTTTCCTATGCATAACATGTGCATCCTATCCTTTTCTCCAGGAGATCATATGTATTTATTTATCTAATATGAGCAACAGCACAAGGTGTTTAGCTCCCCCAGGCAAATGGGGTCTCTGGAATTTTACCCCTCCAGACTCCCAGCTCCTCTTCCACACAGAACAGAGAGGAGGCCAAGAGTTGTAGCTCTTGTGGCACGATGGAAGATCTGTGTCCCACACCAGTCCTGTTGGTCTATACACAGGAGCAGTAGTTGGGCTGGGATTGCCCTTCTAAATAGGTCTCTTGTGCGTGATCAAAGCACTGACGATATGCCAGTGCATTAATGTGAAATTGCCCTAAAAATCTAAGCAGCAGTCATTTAGTCCCAATCAAGTCTCTCCTTGGAAGGGGATTTCATTAAAAACCCACTAAGAATAATATTAGGAAAAGTTTTAACATTTTAAAGAAAACAATCTTTTCAAACCACACCTAAGTCACAAATGCTATATTTTAGAATTGAAGTATTATTGGCAGGCTGAAGTTTATAATACTCTTTATAGAGTTGCAGGATGAAAGACGAGTTCTGCCAATGGATTGTTTAATTATACTCCTCAAAAACAGTTTGGGCATGCCTAATCTGACATTTTTTACTGGAAGTGCTGGTTTTAGGTATTTGATCCCCCCCCCCCGTTACATAGACAAACAGACGTTCTTTATGAAAATCACGTGGTTTAGCCTAAGCAATGTAAGCAGTTTATTGTTTCTGATCTTCTTTAGGAGTCAGCTTGCATATGCTTTTCCATAACAAGGATATAAGAATATTTCTTTCTCTCAGTGGTAGTTGTTGCAGCAATAATTTAATAACCAGTAAGGACCTGTGAACAATTTAAAAATAACTCAAGCAAACGGCCTAGGGGAAACATGGTTATCTTGAATTCAAGGTGTCTGAGTTAAATTTAGTTTTACAGAGGATACAATTTAGTTTTACGGAGGATACAAAGAAGAACTGGTATGGGAATAGGTGGACCACAGGTGAACTGACATATTTTATTCCCCTTTACAATTTCTGTTAGTTAATTAATTAAACATACTCCATTTACACTCTCCTTATTCCTCCTGTCATGCAAAAACAGCTACAACGTTCCCCCCTTCTCAATTTTATCTTCAACGCAACTCTGTGAGGTAGATTAGGATGAGAGTGTGTAGCTGGCCCAAGGTCAGAGAGTAAGAGCCAGTTTGGTGTAGTGGTTAAGTGCATGGACTCTAATCTGGGAGAATGGGGTTTGATTCCCCACTCCTCCACTTGCACCTGCTGGATGACCTTGGGTAAGCCACAGTTCTGGCACAGCTGTTCTTGAAAAAGAGCAGTTTCTGTCAGAGCTCTCTCAGCCCCACCTACCTCATAGGGTGTCTGTTGTGGGGAGGGGAAGGGAAAGGAGATTGTAAGTCACTCTGAGACTCCTTTGGGTAGTGAAGGGCGGGGTATAAATCCAATCTCCTCCTCTTCTTCTTCTTAAATGGCAGAGTGGGGATTTAAACCTTGGTCTTCCAGACTGTTGAGGACAACTTTAAGCAGGGTGTTGGTGGAAAGGTGGTAGGCTTTCTACCATTGGAGCAGAGGATGGACAGCCTTCTGTCAGGAATGCTCTAGCTTTGGATGCCCAATAATGAAAAGCAGGTTGGACTAGATGGTCTATAAGGTTCTGACAGACTCTCTGATACTGGGATTTGTGATACCAGAGTTACCAGCCATAGTGAGATTTTCTCCATTCAAGCTGCGTTACACTGAAAAACTGCTCTTCTTAAAATTGCAAGATTATGTAATGTTGCCACCCTTACAATGACTTAGTTTCATCACTTTCATCACTTTCACATTTCTTTATAACACTCTCATATTTATGCTATAAACACACTGTAGCTCATTTTCTTAGCTTCTACAACAAAACTGGTTTATGTGGGGATTATGGGTATGCCTTGCAGTGTGGACTGGATGGTCTTTTTGGTTACATGGAGAAGTCCATTAATGGCTACTATCCATACTGTCTAAAGTGGACCTCCATTTACAGAAGCAGCAAATGATTATAGGCCCCGTTCACACAGAGAATTTGCCCCGCGAGAGGGACGGCTTGCCTGCGGATTAAACAGGCGCGGTCATACCTCAACATCTGGGAAGTGTGGCGCTTCTGTTCCCAACCCGTAGCTTTGGCCCAAAAAAGCAGAGTTAAAAGATACTGGGAACCATGCAGTATCTTCCGGAAAACGCACGGTGCATGGGGGCGTCTGATCGGGAAGCGCTGGTAGCCCGTCACATCCAGCGCCAGTCGGCATCTCACACATGCGCACAAACACGTTACTGCCGTTTTGCCTCATTTCGTGTGATCGGCTGCCAAAGGCCTGAGCACGGAGCTTCGAGGGACGGTCTGATCGTGCTACCGCGCGTCATTTTGCTCCAGCTCTAAAAGCCTCCCTTCCCCTGCGGATTATCCCGCTCGTGTGACCGGGGCCATACTAGTGCTATGAAGCAGCATCAGGGGAAGGCCTTAGCCTCTGTCCCCTGTTCGTTTGGCCCTTCAGGGCAACTGGTTGGCTGCTGTGTGGAACAGTATGCTGGAGTAGGTGGACCACTGTTCTGATCCATCAGGTTCTGCTTATGTTCTTATGTTCCTTTCAATTGATTCCAAACAACTCAGTTACTACTCATGGCATAAATTTAGAGAGAGGCCTCTTCCTATTGAGACACAAGCTGATTTCACAAGTAATGAGTGACTTTTCTAAAGCACTAGTCTGAATTCAAAGCCCATATTGACACATTTGGTTTTAAAGTGGCTCTCATCTGTTAGCTGTCCTGACTTAACAATAGTCCACCTCAAACTAAAAAGTGCACTTTGTATGCAGAAAATTAATAGAATAAGGAATACTGGGCTCATTATTTTAAACTCATGTTTACTTCGGTTTACCCTATCTTTCCTATTAGTTATGCAAATACTTAATCCTTTAGAAGTTCTTCAGTGAAAGGGATAAAGCTCTTACACTTCAAGATATGATTTTAGACCCCTGTGGCTCATTAACAGCCTGATCTTATGAATCATCTTTGAGGTACATGCGATATGGTTCACTATGAAGGGTACATCTTACCTTTGGCAAGAAGGACAAACATCCTAACCTGCTTCATGGTCTTCAAAAGATAGTCACTACACTTACTTCACACAGATTTCAAGGCTTTCAACAGATAATAATGATTACTTTCCCTTCCTTTAAACCATTTTTTAAAAATTTTAATAGAATGAGCGCATAACCTTCGCCATCTAAATGTAACAGCTAAAATGTTAACACTTTTTGTCCTGGAAAAATTGGAAAACGTCTTAATAAAAACACAGCTAAGGAAATAGTTGCTTCTGCAGAAAAAGAGTGAAGGGTTAAATTGCTGTTCTAGACAATTTTTTTAAAAAGCTATGTGGATGGAGAGCAATTGGCCATTGCAGCTGTGGCATATGGAGTCAAGGCGCTGCCATTCTGATGTGTGCTGCTGCTGCTGAGAGCTTAGGAGAGGGTTGGGCTCATCAGGGATTAGACATCCTCTTATACTGACTGAGGATTGTGCTCATGAGCCTAGGAGCCCCCTTTTCAGTGCTGTGGCTTATATAACCAGACAACTGGATAAAATACCTTCTGGCATTTTTGAGACTAAATGGTTTATTTGGCATGCATTCGTGTAGGCTCTGAGAGCCAAGAAATGGCTTAGATTGTTGACTCAGTTATGGCTTGGCTGGAGAAGGTAGCTTAGTGTGTCAAATTTCATAGTTTATAAAAATGGAACGGCAAAAGAAAATACAACACCACTGGAGCAAGGTGTGAGAGTTTCAGCTGAACTTTACATTATGAGGATTGAAAGAGTGCAACTGGTGAAGGATTACTGGATCCATTACAAAAGGTATCATTTGGCCAGCTATATAGATCCTGTTATTTAGGACCACATGTCTATAAGCACCCTTGATCACCTTTGCTCTGATTCCAGTGCAGAGAATAGGAGCTGCCACATGAAGCTCTATCTCTGAATATAAGCAAAACTGAAGTTAGCCAGTAGCTGGATTGGAGATCACCTGTGAACTCTTTGTACCTTACTCTGTGTTCCTTGAAAGAACAGCAATGAGACAAATGGTGCGTGGTATATAAACTCGTATTCTGCGAGCAAGGATACATGTTCATGGCTTCTACTGAGTGTGTTCTCTTCTCACACATCAATGCCTGATTCAGACATATGCTGAGGCAACAAAACCCTTGCAGTGCAATATTCTGACCCATGGGTAGAATGGCTTGCTGGTATGAAGGTCTCTGTTCTGCTGGCTTCTGCCTACATGCCCCCAGGTTTGACTGTGGGCCATAAAAATGTTGCATGTACAGACTTTCCCCATAACGAGTGAGCTAAATGTGCACTATGGCTAACAGCAGCTTTGGTGTGATTTTGTTGGGGGAAACAGCACTAAGGGATTACTGTGGATGCCTTGTCCTCAGTTCCCCCCTTTCCCCACAGCTTATTTAGAACCTTAGTAAAGATAAAATGTGCAGTTTGATTTTGAGCAATACATTTGAGGTGGACAAAGTTGGGTTATTTTTAAAGCGTATTGAAGGCATTGCTTCTCACTATCATCAGTGGTCAAAAAGGTTTTATAGAGCTTCAAAGATAATAGGAGGAAAAGTGAGCAGGTCACAAGCAAAGATACCTCTGGAATACCACCTGTAATGACAGGGGTATTGGCAGAAACCACTCTTGGGCACCAGCCATTTTGAGTT